ACTTTCCTAGTAGTCATACCTAGAATGAAAAATTAATTTGAATTGGTCACATGCATAAAAGTTTATAAAAACAAGTATCAATTCAAAATAATTTCATTTATTCAATGATTAAAACTGAATATCCAAAATAAATCGCCAACTAATAATCCAAAACATGAAGGAAAATTGTTCAAAATCAACCAAAAACAAGGTGGGGTGCGGCCACTAGGTGGAATTCGGCCCCAATTGTCTTATTTCAACTAAAAAAGAAGTCTATGTCTAAGATTCTAATCTTCCATAGGAGTGGTATCCTCCTAAAAGTCAGAAACCTCTATCTTTGTAGTCTCCGGTTCGTCCACTTGCATGAAGTTTGATTCAAACTTCTTACGACGAGAATTATATTCATCTACAACCTTCTTGGGAGCACGGCAAATACGCGACCAATGGTCCTTTGAACCACAACGATAACACATATCGTCATTCATTGTGGCAAGTGCTTTGCCCTTATTCTTGAAGTTCGGGGCCTTGGGAGCGAGGTTTGGGCGCTTCTGGGCTTTGTTTCCTCATTTGGATGAGCCTTGACTCTGTTGACCTTGGTGGGATGGCTTCTGGCCACCCTTACCACGCCTCTTTTGGCGTTTTGGGTGCTGATTAGTGCTATAATGTGCTTCAGGCACAGCAGTAGCCCCAGTAGGTAGAGCTTGATGATTCTTCATCAACAGTTGGTTCTGCTTTTCAGCAAGAAGTAAAACAAAGATCAAATCCGAGAACTTAGTGAACTTATGAGCTCTATATTGTTGCTGCAAGACAATATTAGAAGCAGAGAAGGTCGAGTAGGTCTTCTTCAGGAGATCCTCTTCAGTTAAAGTTTCATTGCAAAACTTGAGAAGTGATCGGATTCGACAAACTTCAGAATTATATTCATTCACAGACTTAAAGTCTTGGAAGTGCAAGTGCTGCCAGTCGTGTCTTGCTTCAGGCAAGAATATGTCCTTTTGGTGATCGAAACGATCAGCCAAAGCGACCCATAATGCACGTGGATCCTCCTCAGCAAGGTACTCAGTTTACAGAGCGTCATGAATATGTCTTCGGATGAAGATCATAGCAGTGGCTTTTTCAGCTTCGCCAACAGGTTCAATTGTTGCTTCTTTAATAGCAGGACGCAAGTTCTTGGCAGTGAGGTGGAGCTTCACATCTTGAACCCACTTGAGGTAGTTCCTTCCAAAGACCACCAAAGCGGTGAAGTCGAGTTTGTTCAAATTCGACATGTTCCTATCACAAATAGATGGACAAGATGTGGTTAGTGTAATGGAGAAAAATCAATCCGTTCACATAGGATTAGAACATACAGGTTCTAATAGACATGTATTGGTTTAATTTTGCATGAAAAACTTTGGGTTTTCATGGGTGATATGTTTAAGAGAAAACTTCAGGTTTTCAAACAAGGCATGTTTATAAGAAACTTCGGGTTTCAAAGTAATTATGAACTTCAGGTTCATATATTCTTGCAGGCAAACACAAATATATATGCAAACAAATATGCAACAAATATATGCAAAAATATTGTATAATGATAATTGAATTAATTTATTTGGTCTTCGGGGCCAAATGAAAGTGTGGGTGAAAATATAAAAACCCATATTATTTAAAAATATTAAATAATAAAATCTCGGGGCCTAAATATAGGCAAAGCCCACAGGTGGCACATGGAGCTCACGGGGAGACATGGGCAAGGGGAATGGGCTGCTGTGTGTAGCCCCAAAAAAAATTTCTTTTTTTTTTCTCAGGGGTCGCTTCAGGCGAGCCAAAAAAAAATTTTGTTTTTTTTTTCTTTTTTTTTGTATTCAATTATATTATATGCATGTATAATTCTAATGAATCACATATTTACGTTGATGCATATGCAAATAATAGTTTCAATGCATGTACATATGTAAGATTCAATTCATGGCAAATATCAAATTCACATAATTGTAGCAATTTTGGTTATGAAGCATACACAATTTATGTAGAATCTAAAATACGTTAAACGTAAAGTTGGGTCATGCATTATGGTGAATGTTCATGCTATCAGGGCTTGCAAAATATCGAGTTAAAAGCCGTTGTTTGGAAAGAACCTGACTGCGTGATGATATGGATGAACTGGTTTGATGCAGAAAAAAATCTCCAATGTCAGATTCCTAAGCGCAGCGGTAGGAGCGTGCTGATAACGTGTTGTGGTCTATTTTTATCTGACAAAATAGAGAGGGCCGGCGGCAGTGGGAGAGAGAAGAGATATGTGTGTTTGTAGAATTGTAGGGGAATGTGTGTGTTGTTATCCCTCCTACATTGTGCCTTTATTTATAGTAGTAAAGGGAGAGAAGATATTCCTACTCCTCCAAGTAATACAAGTTGTAATAGGAAAGGATAACTAGAATCAAATCTAATCTAGGATTTACACAATCATACTTATTCTAGGAATGTTTACAACACAAACATCATTCTGGTTTTTTATTTCGATACTGTAATATATTCTTATTAATTACAATCGAATCTCTATATCACGCTTTTCCTCATATAATTCCACAAGTTTAGAAGGTAAGCGTTGAATTATTATTCGCCAACCCTTCCAAAATTTAACAATTATGTCTATAACATTACCAGATTATATATATATATATATAAAATTGATTTTTATAACTGCGTTTCCGGTCGAGCTGCATTTCTTTATTTTTGTTTTTGCATGCTTCACCTGATCAGGTGTGTGGCTCCATGGATAACCTTTTTTTACTGAAAGTATCTCCATGGAATTTGACAAATTGTACGGAATCATATGCAAATCCTGGCATTACAAGTTGCAAAAGCAAGTGTGCGGTCCTCCTTCTGTCGATCCTTGGTAATTGGATTCGAGCTCAAGTGCTATAGAAAATTAAGACGGAGTAAGAGGACAAAATATATACAAACAAACAAACGAAACCATATTTTAACTCGGCCATATTTCAGAGAGTTGTAAATGATCGATGAAAAAGGTCTGCTATCAATTCAAGAGGTTTTTTTTTACACACACACACACACACACACACACACATATATATATATATATATATATTTTTTTTTTTCTGTAAGAAGAATACAAATTAATCTAGCAAATGATGTTAAGAAATAATAAATAAAAAATCTTAAGATTGTAACAATACATTAGAATTTGGTTCGCATGCATGATTTGTAGAAGTCAAATCCTAGGTTTGTAAAACGAATCATTCTTCAAACGTACTTAAACAAAAGATGTCTGAACGAGAAAGTAGTTATAAAATGTCTTCACTGCACATATATCAATTTCACATGCATGGAACAAATAGTTTTATCAAAGTATTTGAACAGTACAGACAAAGTGTGAGCACTGACGATAAGATTCTTAATTATCTTCCCCCTCCTATCATTCTTGTATTATAAATAAACTAATGTATGTATGATTCAACATTTATGTTCAAATTTATTAGTGAGTAACTAAATAAATCAAATAGAAGCATATTCAAGTTTGGATCGTACATAAGTTAGTGGTTGTCCACACTCCAATAGGTGGTACCTATCAGCCGTTAATGTTTGTGATATGAATTAATGAGAAACAAACTAATCAACGGTGACAAACATCCAAACTGACACATGCTCGTACACGTATAGTGTTATTAGATTCTAAACTTATCTCTTTAGATCCCAACTTTATATTTTTTTTTTGTTCTTTAATAATAATTAGATTAATTTACAGACAACTTGTGTCTTCATATTCATGAAAATCTAAATAAGTAACATATTAAACTCGATTAAAAACATAATTCAATTTGAATCGATGATAAGCTAGACAAATCAAACTCTATCATATATATAATCTAACACATCAATGTCAGCAACAATAAGCACTTAGTTAAAATCAAATAAACAAAATTACTTATATATGCATCATTTATTAAGAATAGTTAGAAAATATTTATGTTTAAAATTAGTTGATTACCAACGCTAGCCTTTGCTTGAACTATTATTCAAAAGAAGGGAAAAAAAAGTTAAACAAAAGAAACCCAAACATATACATATATAACCTAATTAAGTACTGTGCAAACTTTCTTTAAGTTGGTACATATATAATAAACATAGAGAACAAAATAAACTTGTGCTTGCATCTCTATTTCAAATCTTCCTTCACACGCTAAATGGTTGTCAATCGTTCACCTACATAAAATTTTCATACATGATTAACAGACACACACAACAATATAAGCGTACATGTCATTACCAATGAAAACATAAGAAAAATACTAATGTTCTTTATTTGGGTCTCTTAATTTTCTTTTAATTTCGCAATTCATATATATATATAAAAAAGCATAAGTGCCTTAATTTTATAAGAGAAGAACAGCTGGGCATATAGACTATAGCTAATAGCTAGTAGGCCGACCACTGAGACCTGAGCAAGCCAAAACCCCTCCCAAAAAGAATGAAAGCGCCCTTGGTTTCCAAACACAACGTGTCAATCATCTATACGTCACCCTCTCCCATCATTTGTGCACTCATACAAACAACGAATCCGGGGACTCTCTGAGAGTCCGAGGTTTCCCAATTCCCCACGCTTTTCATTTACACTCGCCAACACTCGCTCTCTTCCTCTTACGCGTGCCCATCCTGATCTGCCTTTTGTAACGTGAGCACCTCCTCCGATTCACTCCCGCTGGTCAACAGGCCTTTGTTTGATTCACTTGACAAAATATGGGCCCCAAGAAGCGAGTAGAATTGTCTTTCTCTACTCTAGCGAGTGGGGATGCGGCCCAGACCATTACCACTAAGCGGTTTCCCTCCAGAACAGTCCGCACCGCGTTTCCTCAAATAAACAGGGTTCTACTTTGTGGCTTTCCATAGAAAGCATTTATCGGTGGGTATATCTGAGTAAATAAAGGAAAGAGGGAGGCTGCTACTGTTTTCTCCATAGCTTGTTTCTTCTAAGTAAGAAACTACAACTTTATTTTTTGAGGAAAAAATCAAAAAGAAAAAACGACTGTTTTTTTTTAGATAAATATGATGATTTTTGTTCTTTTGGGTTTTTTTGGTTCATGTTAGTGATCTCGTTTTGCTTCGTATTACTGTTATCTCTAGCATGCTTTTGATCTTGTTTGCTTCAGGTTTTGATAACCAATTCAAGCGAATAGGAAAATTTTCCTGAATATGAGTAACTAATTTAATTTCTCTATGTATATATCTACCGATCTGATATAGAAGAAGGTATGGGGAGAGGAAAGGTTGTGATTCGAAGGATTGACAATTTGACGAGCAGGCAAGTGACCTTTTCGAAGAGAAGAAATGGGTTGCTTAAGAAGGCTAAGGAGCTATCAATCCTTTGTGATGCTGAGGTTGGATTGATTATCTTCTCTAGCACCGGCAGGCTTTACGATTATGCTAGCACTAGGTTAGATCTCTCTCTCTCTCTCTCTCTCTCTCTATATATATATATATATATATATGTTGCCGGTGAACTTTTGTTGGATTGAGTTTGCACTGGAACTAGAGCTACTTGTTCCATGTATATGTCTTTAATGGTCTATCGAACTTTAATTTTCCTAGCTGACTTAGTAGAATTTATGTATAGAAAACTTCATTTTAATCCTTAAAAAATATGAGTTTTAGATTTTAACCTTGTATAAGATTAAAATCCAATTTTAGTCCCTAGTACATTTAATCATATCATGTATTAGTTATATTTTGATGTTTTATTTATTTATTTATTTTTATTTTAATGTATCAATTACATTTAAATTTAATTTTTATTTCATTCATCATAATATATTTTAATGTCTACATTTAGGTAACTAATTCTTTTATAATATATATTCCGATAACAATTTTGTATGTTATTTATTTAGGTACATTAATATATTTGAATATTTCGGTATATCCATTGGTACAAACATATAGTTACATTGATTCAATATAATGCATTTCGTTACGTACATTTTGGTACACATATTTGAGTATTGACTTTTAGGTACATTAATTCAATATATTATATTTCGGTAAATACATTTAGGTACGTACATTTTGGTACATAAATTTCGGTATTGATATTTAGGTACATACATTTCGGTATTGACATTTAGGTACATACATTTCAGTACGTACATGTTGGTACATACATTTTGGTATTGACATTTAGGTACATTAATTCAATAATACATTTCGGTACATACATTTAGGTTAATTATAATATATTTCGGTACAATCATGTAGGTACAAATATTTCGGTACAAAAAAAGTCAATTTTATATATTTCGTCATAGTTATTTCTGTACACTTATGTATTTATTATTTTTGTATCACAAATGTCTTTTAATATTTTCTCATTTACGTTCATTTATAATAAAAAAACTAAATAAGTGCATATTAATAAAATTAAAATTTAATATGGAGAGATTAAATAAAAATACACATTAAATAACAAAAATTGAATGTAAATTTTGATAAAAGCACTATTCAAGGGATTAAATTGAATATTTAATCTAGCACCAGATTTTTTTTAAATTTTAATCTTTTGTAAGGACTAATGTTCAAAAACCCCATTTATGTATCCATGTTGATATATGCTGTATGTTCTAGCATAGGATTTGAGGTGGACTTGTTACTGGACTAGTCCAGACGACATATATCAGCAGTAGCGTCCTTTTTTATGAATATATATATATATATATATATATAGAATGTCGAATTACTTACCCGAAGATGTTATTTGGCTATGTTGCTTCCTGTCTTAGGTCATGGATTGTGTAGAGTTTTGCCTTGTCTATTTTGCATAGGAATTCAGAAAGCTATATTATCTCTGATAAGAAACTGCTTTTAAAAACTTCCAACGAAAAAAAAGGTTACAGATAAAAGTATTTACATATGAATGCTTCTCACAATGTGCTATATATAGGATTCAATTATGATATAAGATATATATGCAAGAGCTGACTATTTACACATAATGATAAATAGAGACACGATGAAGTTAATGGATGATACGAAATTACATTGAATCCAGTTTATTTAGTAATGTTCAACGAAGAGGGGTTTCTGAGGTGTATGTGCGTGCGTGCGTGCAGCGCGCGTGTGTCCCTCTCAGTTATTAGACCGTTTTCTCTTTAGCAGTTTTGGTTGGGGGGCGCCGGGGGGGGGGGGGGGGGGAGGGGGGAGTGTTTATGATACTTCAAAGGTCTAAAGCATGCACAAGGAGAACTTCTACAGAAGTACTATTCAGGCAACCCCATGCATGCTTCTCCTTACTTTGACGTCCTTAAGATTGTGTTGCATGAGATGTGTTGTCTTAAAGGAGAAGTTTGTAGGTAGTTTGTCAATTCTCGCAAAAAACAAGTATTATAAGGTGTACAGATTCAAGTATATACATGTTAGCAACTGTAATATCATCTAAGAATATCACATTTCTTTAGGGACTAAATTGAGGAACAGTGTAGGTCGCTATTCATCGGTGTCATTTCTTGGTACAAAGGAGGATGATGGGAAAGGCAGAGTTTTCTGAACAACCTTCTCCACCACTGAAGTTACAATTTCCCACTCATGTGCACCAATATATATCAAGTTAAAAATTAATGAACTTTAATTATCGTTTTTAGTGTTCAAGAAAAAAAAAAAAAATAAGAGATAAAGTTTGATAGGGATGACAATGGTCAATGGTGCCCGTTAATTAGTGCTATTAAATCGTAACTACATATATATATATATATATGTTGTCGATATATACTGTAATAGCATAACCAAACACTTACTTTATAAGTGACCTCATCATTCACAAACTCTGTTGTGACATTTTGACGACTTGATCAAGAGTGATGATGTGGGGAGATTTACTGATGGGAGACTTTGGATCCGGTCCTTAATTATGAATATTCTTTGATTGAAACCTTGTTGGTTTTTAATTTTTGATCAAGGTCCCTGAAATTAATGTGATAATTTATTTCTATGTACGTTACTATATTTTTTAAATTAAAAATTAGAAATTTTATTTGTTTATATAAATGATATTTTAAATAAAAAAACCATAATTTGTGGGATTAAAAATATTAAAATATAAATATACTATTGTAACATCCCACATCGCCCAGAGGAGTGGATCATGTAAGCCTTATATGTATATTCTCATCTCTACCTAGCACGAGGGCTTTTGGGAGCTCACTGGCTTCGGGTTCTGTAGGAACTCCGAAGTTAAGCGAGAAAGGGGCCAGAGCATTCCCAGGATGTGTGACCTATTAGGAAGTTCTGCTCCCATGAGTTCCCAGAAACAAAGCCGTGAGGGCGTAGTCGGGGCCCAAAGCGAACAATATCGTGCTACGGCGGTGGAGTTGAGCCTGGGATGTGGTGGGGGCTCGGGCCTAGATGTGACAACTATTGTGTGTGTGCGTATATAAACATGGGTACATTCATCAAAATTAACCAAAAAATTTATTGTATCAAAACATGGGTACATTCTTCAAAATCACACAAAAAGAAAATATATTAGGCTTAATAACATTAGTAAATTTCTTCGATTAAACTTGACATGGATACATTTTAAAATCAAAGAAAAAAGAATGTACCCATATAAGTTTAAAAATGGATTAGAAAAAAATTGAATAGATTTTATATAAAAAAAGGGGTACATTTTACATATAACAAATTGGTATATTTAAGATCAAGGTCTAAAATATCGATATTATTGGCGATATTTCGCCGATAATATCATTTTTTTTAGAGAACGATATTTTCACACTTATCCACTTAATTATCGTCAATATATCGATATTTTTGTTGATATTATCGCAATAAATCGGAGACGATATTTTCAACATTTTAATGCATTATTTGGGCAATCTATTGTGATATTATCGATAATATTGATAATATCGCAAAATGAAACCCAAATCATCCACAACCTGTTGCATCAAGTTATTGACCTCACCTTCCAGTGTCGAAAGCGAGGTGGAGCCAGCCATGGCGGTCTCCATGAACTTGGCCTGGACCTCCATGTTCACAAACTGCTTCTCGAACGAGTCCATGGTCTTCGACATCTTCTGGAGGTTTCCAGTGGCCAGCGACGACTCGAGCGATTTGACGATATTGCCTATTGACTTGTTGATGGTGAACATCTTGGCCTGGGTGTCAAGCCGCGTCACCACGTTGTCGAGCCGTGAGGCGAGGCGGAGGTAGTTCATCTGCTCAGTGCACTTCCGGATCGCGTTCTCGGTGGAAATCCGGGCGTTGTCGACGTTTCCCTTATCCATTACCTTCTTGATCTTGAGCTTCTCGTCTTTCTCCTCCTTCTCGCAATTCCTGGACTGCGCTGGAGCGACTTGGAGGTGAATTTGAGCTCCATGATCTGGTTCATCACCTTCTCGGTGTTTCCCATGGCGGAATTTGGGGATTTTTTTTGGGGGAATTTGATTTTCTAGGGTTTTGGTTTTCTGATAGGAGGAAGAAAGATCCGAGCTTTTGTGCATTTTTGGACTTCAATACACGCGTTTAGCGTTCGTGCCTCAGAGAAGTCAATAGAGGGCGAGGCCGACGTTTCCTACCTTGCTTTTTTGGGCACTTCTGTGCAATATTTTGGGCCTCACTTGCAATTATGTTTTCACAATATATGGGGCATGTTAACCAAATTGTCAGTGATATCAAGGGTTTTGCCTCAAATTTTCGAACCATTAGTTGGAACCAAGGTCTAAAATATCGATATTATAGGCGATATTTCGCCGATAATATAGTTTTTTTTAGAGGACGATTCGAACCCCTCCCTTTGTCAACCACGCACCTGGGCCTTATCCAACTCGCTACATATGTGTTTGTGATTACATATTCAGCCTGTAATATTTATATGGTCGTTAAGATGTCTGCAAGGCTTGCAAGCTAATATTTATTATCTAGGATAAATTTCTATGAAGTGTAAAATATTATACTAATTCATTATATATAAATGATTATGGTGTGTTTAAACTTCTTTCATTAATTACTACATATTTTCTACACTCACAATGTTTGTCAGCTCGCTATATAATCAACTTAAATCAGTTAAATCCATCATGCAATGCATTTCCTTCCAATTTTTTGTGATAAATTAATAGATAATTGACTAAATAAACATCCTGCAAAGTTTCAATAAAAATTTCCAAGTTTTTCTTACAATTTCCGTGGTTTTTATTCAATTTTTATTGATATCAATAATATCCCGATATTTCCATTCAAATTTCCGTGTTTTTGGACTACGGATATTTCCGATATCATCAATATTTTAGACCTTGTTTAAGATTGAGTACATTTTAAGATTAAAAAGTTTTACATGAATGGGTACATATAATTAGCATGGGTACATTTAGCAAAATAAAAAGTACAAATACAAAAAAATATATGGGTACAAATACAAACAAACTTTAAAACATATGGGCACAA